GACAAGTTCAAATAATGAATAACGGAAATGAGGGAAAAAATATCTTTTTAGATACCGAAAATAACAATTAACAAAAATGCAGACCCTAATAATAAAAAGCGAAAAAACGTGCAAGTGCATACTTTTGTAAAATTATCTGTCGTTGAGTATCACTCAGACGGCGTAAACCTAACTGTCCTGATCATCAGGTTTTCATGTGCATCTGACGGAATTGGCTCATTTTCAAAGACTGGAAGGAAGAAGCGATCATTCCTATTTTCAAGACCAGCTGCCCAGAAAACCACGCTGTTTGTGCTTGAGAAGTTAATCGCACGAATGATCCTTGAACGAGCAAAGGTAGCGATCGATTATTCGTTGTGAACCAAAAAAAGCAGACGTCAGAAGCGAACGCACGTGAAGCACAAAACATTTTTCTGCTGAAACGATCATCCAACAGTGCAGCAGCTTCCTACCAACCTTGCATTCAAAGGTACTCGATCTTCAGGTACGCCTTCAGTTCCGTTTATTGCCCATCATTATGGGATCGTAGGCGATGGCAAACTGACTGAAAGATCCGTACAAACGGGAAAAAATGCTACATCAGAACTGAAAAGTGACTCATGGCATGGAGGTCAGAGGTAAAGATCTTCAAAGCAACGCGCACTGTTTGCAGCTATTCGACATGCCTCGACAAGATAACGACGAATGGCGGAGTCAGCGAGTTAGCAGTATTTTTAACGGACCTTGAGTAGGCGAGTGACGTCGTACAGCTGAACGACTGCAGGTGCAAGGCCTGCAACCTCACCGAAACCATGTGCAACACCTGTATTGGATGAGGGCCATAGGTTAGTGACAAAAGATGAGCGTTTATGCGTTTGTCACGACCGAAGAGCAAATGATACTGCAAAGGCTGCACGACAATTTAGAAAGTGAACAAGGTTAAAGTATTTTATGTTTAATCACTATTACGTTTCCTATTATCTGACTGCATCGAAAACGACGTCGGGTGCTGCCTGGTCCTCAAAATCCATTCTCCAGTCTCTGTCCTGATGACCAGGCAGGCATATATATATATATCCGGTGCTCATGCGCAGTCAGCAAACATCTGCCGTCCTGAAACGACATGAAACTCGCCTCTACACGTGCAGCAAAGGTGTCGACCAAGTGAAGTATGCACAAAATGCTGTTGTCACCACGGGTCGTGAACGAGCACATGCTGACACATCGATGTCTCATAAAACTGCATGAAGCGCTTAATGACCGGCATTTGACTTGCATTGATGAAACGACCCAGAAAAACAACTAAAATTAACTCAAAACTTTTTTCGACTGGAACGGAAACAGTTCACCAGCCGGAACTCGTTACAGGACAACACAAAACTTGAAAACCTCCTGTGGAGGCAAATCTATCTATTACGAGGAATATGATCTTTGCCGTAGCAACGAACGTTGCACAACATGAATGACATGCACAATATGAATGTGAGACATATCGCTTGATGGAAAGTCATCACGAACTCTACTACGCTACCACTTAAACTTTGCTCGTTGTACGCAACGATGACAACAACATGCCTAAAATATAATGCCGCATTTTACGATATTAGTAAAATGAGGGCAACCTTACATTAATGTCGTCAGCTTAAGTTTATTATAATCGTTGCAGCAAAATTACAAACCAAAGACTCACGATTAAGTCGAAAAGAAAACTAATCGCAAACGGAAAGTTGTAATCGTTAGAAAGTCGGTGTTTCTTACACTTTCATGATTGGGACATTCTGACGCCCATCTTTTCATAAAGTTGATGGTGCGGTTATGATCTTTATTTCTATTCCATCAGCCAGGTGTGCCTCATTTTAAAGACAGAGTTTATGGTCATGTAATTAGCGTAGTCTATAGTCCCTTATTTCTTTCCTTTATCCTTGGAAGGAAGAAGGGCGAGTGACCCCGACCCGCCTTGAACTCGAGACCTATCGGTTATGAGTTCAACGTTCTACCGGCTGAGCAATCCCGATCTGAAGCAACGTGTGGTAAAATTCCTTGCTCAATGGAATTCATGAATAAGACCAAAACTGTCCTCATGCGGAATCAAACCCGGCACCTCCGAAGTTCTAAGCAAACCCTTTAAGCACCATGCCTTCACACATGTACATGAAGGGCATTAATTGAATATTTTACCATTCGAAAAAACGTTCTGCATGGAACGGACGGAAATGATACTAGTATGGGCCTCGGCGACATCTAATTATAACACTTTTCGACATTTAATATACTTACGACCAAGATTGGAAAGGTTTGTAATCGGTGGTGTGACATATAAAGCGAGGATTTACAGGCTATCAGTAAAATATTTTTTTGTCTTTAGCCAATTGCCGAAAACAAGTCAGGTAGCTCCTCTCAACCGTCTACAACAACATCTGCCAAATATTGCTGAAACTCTGATTGTACAGCCGGGTGATGAACAACTTGGTGCTTACGACCAGTGGTTCATAAAAATTACTTGAATACCTTACATACCGCTGTCAGACTGGTGGGGGGGGGACAGTGGCAAAGTGACAAGTGGTCACTTGGAGGTGCCAGGTTCGAATTCCAAAAACAGCAAAAATTTCTCTCAATTGCAAATTTCCTTCAGCAAGGAATTCACCGCACGTTACTTTGGCGCAACCGGCCAATAAACGGATAACACGACTCTGGCTTGCGAGTAACACTGGAACAGCATGGTATTTTGGCGTAGTGATATTAGAGGCGGTGAGAGGTACGGCAGGCAATGCTACCTAGTGCAAAGGCCTCTTAGAGCTACAGTTCACTATGAACCACGTGACAGATGACTATCCAATTTGGTAATCAGCACAAAATGTAACCAGTAAACAATCCAACAGTATGCATACTGGTCGAGTTACAATTTCAA